GTGCGTGGTCCAGCGGCTGCTGCCCCTCACCCAGTACCCGGACTCCACAGTGCGCAGGGGCGGGGTCGTGGGGACGCTGCGAAACTGCTGCTTCGAGCACCGTGAGTGGTTGGCGGGAGGCATGGCGATGGGGGGCAATGAAGGGGGAGACTGAATTTTAGGGCCCCTCTAGACTGGAGTGGCCCCCATCCCCGTCTCTTATCCCCTCCAGGACACCACGAATGGTTGCTGGGGCCCCAGGTGGACATTCTCCCCTTCTTGCTACTGCCCCTGGCTGGGCCTGAGGACTTCTCTGAGGAGGAGATGGAGCGTGAGTGGCTTAGGTGGAGCCTCAGGCTTGGCTTAGCAGGAGGGAGGACGGGCGTGGGAGGGTGAGGAGTTGTCCCCATCCTGAAACCACCTAGCACGAGTGGCTGAGCACAGATGGGGCTGACAAAGGTGGGGTCTGGCCCGGTGGCCCAGCACAGGGACCCAAGGACTCCCACATCCACCCTAGGGCTGCCCGTGGACCTGCAGTACCTGCCACCAGACAAGCAGCGGGAGCCTGATGCTGACATCCGGAAGATGCTCATTGAGGCCATCATGCTGGTGAGCAGGGGTCCCGCTGCAGGAACCCCACCCCCCAACACATACGCTGACACCTGGCTAATGTCTGCTCTCTCTCAGCTGACCGCCACAGCACCTGGTCGGCAGCAGGTGAGGGACCAGGGAGCCTACCTGATTCTCCGAGAGCTGCACAGCTGGGAGCCTGAGTCTGATGTGCGGGGGACTTGTGAGAAACTCATCCAGGTGGGTGCAGGGTTTGGGAGGGGGAGGGGGGGAGGGCGTGCCCACGGTGTGCCAGCGCCTGCTCACCTGCCTCCGCTGCTGCAGGTGCTGATTGGGGATGAGCCGGAGCGTGGCATGGAAAACCTGCTGGAAGTGCAGGTGCCTGAGGATGTGGAGCAGCAGCTGCAGGAGCTGGACCGCCAGGAGCAGGAGCAGTGCCTGCGGGAGCAGCAGGAGCGGGAGCTATCTCCAGAGCCACAGGCGGAGGGGGCTGCACCCACCTGAGGCACCTGCACAGGCCACCGCCAGCTCCAGGCCCACCTTGACGAGCCCACCCGTCCTGGCCTCCCAGATCAGGCCTTCCTGCAGCTGCCTGAAGGGCTCTGGGTCACCTTGCTCCGAGGCTGTGCCCTACTGAGAATCAGAGCTACACTTAAGCTCAGGGTTCATGCTGAGGGCTCTCGGGCTAATGCCCTGAAACATTGGAGGGTTGCGGGCACCTCCCTGTGCCCTGTTGCTTGAGCAAAAATTCAGCTGGTGCCTGGCCAGCGTGGTTCAGTGGTTGAGCATTGACCTATGAACCAGGAGTCATGGTTTGATTCCCGGTCAGGTCAGGCACACTGAGCCGGGTTGCAGGCTCCATCCCCAGCATGGGGCGTGCAGGAGGCATCCGATCATAGTTCTCTCTCATCGCTGATGTTTTTCTCGCTCTCCCTCTCCCTTCCTCTCAAATCAATAAAAATATATATATTTTTAAAATGCAACTTGTTCAGAGGAGCTGGCCAGGTCCTGTGGCTCTCAGGTGCCTCCGCCAGGCTAGCCTGGGGAGCAATGCCCGTCCTCCAGAGCTGGGGGGCCAGGGGGAGGGCTGGACATTGCAAGCCTGAGAGGCCAGCTGGCACTTTCGTCCCAGGGTTCCACGGGCCGAGGCCCAGGCAGCCACCAGGTGTGAGCAGTGCCCCTTCCTGCCAGTCCCACCCAAGTCCCTCCACCTGGGCCCTCTGCTGACCCTCAGCCTCCATGGCCTGACCTGAGACCTTCACCAGCTGCAGCCTGTCCCTGGGCTCTCCTACAGCTGCACCCCGACCCCCCCACCTTAGCCTGTCCTGGGAGCACTAGTGGGGTGCTGCCTCCCCTTCATCCTCTCCACCTTTCCACTTGACCCAGACCCTGT